GAGTATCTGGATAGAAGCCGCAATGTGCTAGAGCGCATGCTAACAGAAAGGTCCCGGCCAGAGTGGCGAATTCGAACCCAGGACCTTCTTGGTGTGAGGGAACAGCGCTAATGCCACCACCTGTAGACACGAGACAAAGACACGAACGCAGAGGCAGCAAGAATAAAAGCAAACTACAGGAGAGAGACAGAGTTTAGTAAAAACTAATGATCAAATGCAAATAGGTGTGTAAACATGCAAAGACTGAGAAGACACACTAATCATGGGAAGCCCTCCAGCAGACTAAATGTATTGCAGCACGATTGGGGGACAGTTCAGGGTCACCTGATCCAGCTCTGGCTTATAAACTTTAATTAAAAAGAAAGTTTTAAGACTGATCTTAAACAGCAAAGTCCTCTGCTGAGATATTAAGGTACTATGAAGTCTTTAAGATACGATGGGGCCTGATTATTGATTATTTTGTATGTGAGGAGAAGGATTTTAAAAACTATACATTTAAAAGTTAAAAGGTAATCTTGATATATAATCATGGCAAAACTTTTTTCTAACGTGTTTTTTCCCCCTCAACTCTTTTGCAGATAACAAAATTTAGTCAAGAGCCAAGGAATTTATTCTGTGCTCCAAAAATCTTTTGTCCAGCTGTTCTTTAGTCATAAACACAGACGAGAAGACTAGTTAGACCAGACCACCACATTTCTTTTCCACTTGCTTCTTGGAGCTTTCGCTACAACGTGCAAGCACGTACACGTGAAATGCTTTCTGGGCACCTCACCTTCAACAGAGCTGCTGAGGACATTTCCCCAGCGAGCGTAGTGTATGGACCCTCCACCTGCCCAGGGGAAGCAGATCAGTCTGGCCACAGCATCTGGTCTTTTCTTGAAACAGTTTACCACCGTCTCCATGCTGATTAAGGAGAATAAGAGCATTACGACCTGAGATTTGTTTGCACTTGTGTTAAAACAAGAGGTTATTTAAAAAAAAAAAATCTACCCATTACTTTCTGTCTGCTCCATTAACTTCTTCTAGGAAAACCCTGGGAAGCGTTCAGTGTAACATTTCCTCATTGGCTTCTTCTTCATGATGAATTCACTGGCGCTTAGCACACGTCGAACTGGTGCAATACCGCCACCAACCGGTGCTCAGTGGGAAAAACCAAACATGCGATCTCGTGGAGAATAACAGTTGATCAATTTCTGGTTACAGGAAGCAGCTGAATGTACCTGATGAATCCCACCAAGCAACTTGTTCTTTTGAAGTCTACCAGTAATAGCCAGGTTGACTTTCATTTTCCCTTAGGTTTTGGGCCAGCTGCTTTCTCTGATCCTCATATTTCAGTATAAATAAAACGTGTTACCTCTTTTCCACAATAGCTATA